TCTTTTGCCAAGTAGACCACTAAAGCTTCTTGGCCCAGTTGTGTCACCATCAAGTTTTACAAAAAGAGCTCCTAACGGAAGTTCATTTTGATGTAATGCGCATCCAATTAGATTAAGTTTTCTTTTTAAAAACTCTTCTAGTTTTACCACTAAGCCACTTATTGGTCCAGTATTGGTAGCAGTATTATCAAGAAGAACAGCTTGTATACTTTCCAAACTGTTATGTTCTTGTAAAACACTAAACGTTTAGGTAGCAAGAACTAAACCTGTAGCACCGGTGACAGGAATCGTCCTATGAGTCAAATAATTTCCACTCGATTTTCCATCTTCATAAGTAAATGTGAGGTGATGTTCAGGTTCAATGCATTTCTTTAGTACTTCTCCTTGAGGTAAGTTTATTATTACACTTGTTTTAGTTATTTGATCGAGCTTGCTGTCAACCCCAAGACAAATTAACTGTTTTTTTTGTTCTGAGTCCACCTCTTCACTAACGATTTTTACTTTTGACTTGGCCCTATCTAACTTGCATTTGTCAATCAAAATATCTTTAATATCAACGTCATTTTTCAAGAGATGTTTTATGTCATGTAGTAAAGCATTTGCTAGGGCTGCACCTACGTTTGACGAACACTCATTTCTGACTAATTCCATTGCAAATTTTGAAAGTTTAACTAAGTTGTATTTTCCAATAGGATTATTTACTGGTTTCCATTCACCTTCATCCTAAAAAGGGTTAATAAAATAAAACGCTTTCTGTTTCATCTGTTACAAATATTTCATGTATTTATAAAATATTTACCTCCGTATTGGTCAAACCACTTGTTTCTTCAATTAAGTTTACTTGTGCTATGAGGGATTCGTCTTCATTAACTAGCTTATGAGATATTTTTTGTCGTTCTTTATCAAGGCTTTGAATCCTTTTGACAGATAATCTATCGACGGAAGAAAGTTGATATGCGCCTTTTGGACCACTTTTTTTCCTCTGATCACGAAGATAAGCTCTGTCTTACAGAGGTACTTAATTACTTTGAGAACAAAGGCATACAATATGTTCTTCGATGCAATTTTCTTTATTACATGAAACTTTTCTGTCACTACAGGGAAACACATCTAATGAACAGGAACACGCAGAAATATCAAAAAGTTTGTCCAAGTTTGCATCAAGATTTCTTTTAGCGCTTGCTTTTCCGTGCTTGCGATTAATACCTTTTACAAGTACAAGAAGATCTTTAACTTTCCTATTAATAGATTTGTCAGTTATAAGAGGTAATCTTGGGTTTACTTTAGCCCAAATTGATTTTATATTATTGCTAATTTGCTAAGTCACTAATACGATATCTGCATTTGGATTTATATGAATAAGATAGTAATAATACTGAATAACCTGTCTAAAAGTGCTTGGATCTGTCGTTGATAGTTCACATGGGCCGCCACAATATTTTTTTTTTCACTTTTCATCCTTGTAATTGCAACCTTTACTTTCGGCATTTTTGTAGATTAATTATATATAAAAACTGTATTAAAGTATTACACTCAGAGTAATGGGCAACAGCGTGAGTTTTTAGTGGCCAAAGCATCAAAAAAACCTAAAATATTAAAATTTACTATTAAAAACCTGCTTTGATAAAAAAAAAAAGAAATAAAACTCTTTTGAAAAGATTTGGGGGCCATGAATTCAGGAATCTCAGGAATTGAGTAAAACCATTAGTTCCATCGAAAAGTTTTATATTTTAATCTACTTCAGAAATTGAAAATCAAAACTTATGTAATATAAACAGTTTAAAACATTACTCTAGATATAATAACCATAAGTATTTACCTTTGATATTAAAAGATTTCTTTAAATTGCAGTTTTATTTTTGAACCTACTTTTTAATAAATTTAACTTTAAAACTAACTTTAAAATACAAGCAAGAAATATAAATACAAAAAAGATTTGCTAAGTTTAAATGCGTGTAAACGATTTAGCGAAACTTTATTGGCTTCTTAAAACCATTCCGCTTGTTAATTGGTTACTTTATAAACTCAAAACGAGATATTTTAAAACGAGATTACTAGACTTAAAATAAAATTTTGTAACGTTTGAAATAAACAATCTAACAATACTAGTCCAAAATTAAGACTTAAAATGCAAATCCGCAAGCCATTTTTAAACCAGGGTACTTGAGATTTGGTAAAACCTCATTTCTAACCTAGACACAGAAACTGCAACATTACGCAACTCAAAATTCAAAAAAAAAGCTAAAATCGACCTACCCTAATATATATATATATATATATATATATATATATATATATATATATATATATATATATATATATATATATATATATATATATATATATATATATATATATATATATATATATATATATATATATATATATATATGGTGATTATATGTAGTAAATATAAAAAAATGGCTTACACAGAAAAGATAATATACTGTTATTTTTCTATTAGTAGTGTTTTATTATCGGTACAACATATACTTGATTAAAGTATATGTTGTACCAATTTTTTTAATTCTTACTTTAGTTATTTTCTGTTGTTAATTAAAAACATTTTTTTCGAGTTTTTCTTTTTTTTTTGTTCAATTTTTTTTTCATGAAACTTTTTTAAATTAAATTTTTAAAAACCTTTTAAAGTTTTGTCACAATTTATGAAGTTATTGCAATGAATGAACGTTATAAACTTGTTTACCTGTTTCAATTTGAATTACTTTAGTTATCATTAGCACTTTTTTTTTTAAGAAAACGACTAGCACTAGTATTATTTAATATATTAATTAAATATTTAAATGTCTTCGCGCTTTGTAAAGCATTAGGGGGTAATAAATTACAAAAATCTTTTTAAATGAAAAATTTCTTATGTTAATAATTAATAGTTAATAATTAATAAAGATTCAATTATATGCAATAAAAACTTTACACAAATTAATTAAAAGGTTAGTTTTCAAAAATATTTTACATCTAAACTTACTAATTTGTAACAAAATATTATTATTGAGTAATAGAAAACAACAACAACAACAAGAAATAGGAACAAGTAGTGGTAGTAAAAAAACAACAACAACAAGAAATGGGAACAAGTAGTGGTAGTAGTAAACTTGCATTGAAGTACCAAGTTAAGATGGGTAATACATTTCCAGTATACCAGTATAATAGTTACTTCTGTTAACTAGGAATTGGAAAGAATAATTTCTTAGTAAAAAATTAAATAAACTGTTTTTGAATAAAAAAAATGTATGAAGAGAATTAAACTGTGATGAAAGACTTAATGTGTATATGCTTCGATACTATTCGATGTGTATATGCTTTGAAATTTAATAGATTCATGGTCATAAAAAACAAGTAGATGTACAGGTATAGATAATTTGATACTTTTAGCTGATCGAAGATAGCGACAAGTATTTTTTTTTTTTATAAGTAGAAAAATCAGTAATTGAAAGAGGTTAGGTTTTATGCTACCGTTTCCAGACAAACAATCAGTTTAAGTGTTGAATGAGGTCCTTTAATTAAAATATCTTTGATATGTAGTAGAGAATGTTAGGGTCAGAGTTAAAATGCTGCAAATTAATTTTATCAAATGAAGCAACCTTAGCTTAAATGAAAAGTATGCAAAAATATATTAAACTAAAGTGAGAATCTTCAAAAAAGTTTAAGAGCTAATAAGAGAAGGAAGAGCAATGGTTCTAATATAAACCTTGTGGGACACCATTTGTTGAACTCATTAACTTGGATTTTATCTCATTAATAGAAACAAATTGTGCTCTATTTTGAAGATATGAAGAAAAGCATTGAGTGTCTTGATCAATTTCAGAAACCATACCAATAGTTTCTGAAATTGATCAAGAAAATGACAATTTTATGGCAAAGCTCATGCACCAATATATTACACAATACAAGCTAAACCAGAACAACGTGTGTTGGGTACCAATAATGAATGTTTTTTCTTTCTTATTTTTCTCAAAATCTTCTTGATGAGAGCAACACATTTTAAAAGAAGATGAAACTCTGATTAAGCAAATCTTATCTCTTTAGTAAAAGTTTCCCAAACATTATCATTTAAAAAAATCATTGTTATGCAATTTTGAAATAGGATATGTTCATTCTGTGAAAACCATAATTTATATCAATATGGTCTAACACCTCATCTTGCGTTTAAAAAAATTTTGAAAGTTGGAAGCTTCATGAGCCAATAAAAGCACAGTCTGTGGTAAGCACAGTCTATGGTAAGCACAGTCTATGGTAAAATAGTTAGATTATTAAAAAAAACTTTTTCTTTTAAAGCAGTCAGAGTTTAATTAAATAAGGGAGTTTTTTCCGGAAATTTCTAGAGTTCTAAAAATTCACTATAACTCCTATTCAAGTTTCCAAAAATTTATGAGTGTTTTTAGCTATTAATTTGTGAAAAAATTAACAATTTCCCCACAAATCAATAGCAAAGAACACTCTGAAACTTTTGGAAAAATTTTGTTATTTGGAAAAGAGTTTTAAAGATATTTCCGGAATTCCAAAAACTCCCATAAAAAACCTCATCTATGCTATTTAGACTATTTAGAAATAAGAACACATAAAACGTACAAGTACATGTTTTGTTGAAATTAAAACATTGTAACTAAGGACAAAAACATGTGAAAATATTTCCCTTTGATATTTTTTAACTAACAAGTATTTATTTTATCCAAGTTAATTTTTTTAAATGATAAACAGACAAACCCTATCTTAAAATATTTCTCTTTCTTTATTACTAACAAATTAATTTCTTACTAATTCCTTACAAATTATTCTCACTAATTCCTTACAAAAAAAAGAAAATGATGAATGTATCAAGCAGTTTTCAGCACCTAATCTAATCTTAACTTAAATATACATTTAAAATAAAAAAGTATATCTACCTTTATTGAAAAACTTATTTACTGTATTAATACACCTTTTTTTATCACTTTAAAAAATTAAATTGAAAAAAATATGTTATAATTTAAAATGACCTCAACCTTTAGATAATTAAATGTACTTACTACAAATATGAGCCATTGATATCTTTTCTTTGTTTGAATTATTCAAGTTAACAAGAAACTTCATTAAACTCTTTTGACTTTTATTAATTAATCCACAAATCATTGGTAAGCAACTTTTTAATTTATCATTGTCAATAATCTCCTCACCACTAAAATTGTTATACGCATATACTGAAACACAGAACTCCATTATTGTCATATGTGCAAACTGATAATGATAGCCTAGATTTGTTTCAATCCTTTCTATAAATCCAAAAAGTTCAACTTCAACTTTATTACAGTCACTGAAAAAAGTTTGAATTTCATCTTTTGAAAAAATTACTTTATTTTCAACAAAAAATTGATATGCAATTTTACATATATTGAAAATGTATTCCCGATTAGAATTGATTATCATCATCTCATACATTGGTAAATCTTTTTTGCTAATATGTTTTTGAATAAAATATAAAAATATACTTGCATACAAATCTGTCATTGTTAATAATGAAAACTTGATTCTTTGTTCTGAGTTGGCAATAATTTTACACATACAAGATAAATAAAATGGAACCGATGCCATGGCTTTTACAATTGGAGATTGCTTGAAAACAACTTTTATAGCATCTTTTACTTCATCAATAACATTAAGTTCTATATAATTATTTATTCCATTTTGATTAAAACCCATTATTTGAATTGCTAACTTTTCATTATGACCCTTTGCCATCCAGCAAACATTCAGATACTGATCTATAGCATATACTCTTCCAGCTACCACAGATTTGTATTTTTGAATTTCTGCTAGAACATTAACAATTGGGTATTGGGAACTAGAATTGTAATTTATTAAATCATTTAAATATTTAAACTCGTCTAACCCATCAATCATAAATATTACATTATGGTTATTGATATTTAAATCATTTACAAAATCTTTGTAGAAAAAATCGAGCAATTCATTTATATTAGAAATATTTTGATATTGATTGAGTCTTCTACATTCAAAAAAAAACACAAAACCAACATTTTTCCAAATAAGATTATTAGCCCAATCAATCAAACATTTTCTGAGTAACCAAGACTTGCCGATTCCTGCTATACCTGAGATTAATAAAAGAGATTTTTCTTTCATAAATACTTCATTGTATGGAATTGGCTTATAACTCATTTGCTTCTTAAGATAATTCATTCGTTCATCACTATAAATAGTATTGATATTGACCTCTATCGGATCAACAATACACAGGTCAACAAATTTTTTTGATATAGAAACACTAGCAGGTGTTTTAAGTGGTGGTTGAAGTTCATCAACTTTTTCATAGGTTTGAATATAGAAATGTTTTAGTGCAACAGATATGTTTGACAAACCTAAATAAAAAATAAAACGCAATTAAATCATCATCATCATCATCATCATCATCATCATCATCATCATCATCATCATCATCATCATCATCATCATCATCATCATCATCATCATCATCATCATCATCATCATCATCATCATCATCATCATCTTCATTTAATGCAGTTAGTTACTATTGTTAGCAAAATCGTTTTTAGTTTTTCTGTTTTGTTCTGTAATTCTGCAAGATAGACTTTCATATAAAGTTTTTTTTTTTACATCTATTTGAAATATTTCATAAAATCCTGATTAATATTTTAAATCGTTTACATTTTAGTTGTTTTATCTTTTCTGTTGGCTTTATTATGGCTTTTTTCAACAGTTTTGTTTTAATTACTATTTATCTTTTATATCGATTTGTATGTATTGACAGCATGTATTTATTTTCATATTACTATATGATGATGTTATGTGGTTAGTTCTTAAAATATTTTTTTTTAGTTTCTAAATTGCTTAAAAGTAAGTTTTGAATGTTTGTTCATTTATATCATATCTTGATATGATGATGATTTGAATGAACTTTTTACTATTATAAATTAATTGAATTGAATTAAAAATTACCTATATAGGTAAGTTAAAGTTGATTAAAAAGATTTTTATTATTAAAGCAATTAAAAAATAAATTATTAGATTATAATTCCCGGAAAGCGTCTTGTAAGTCTTAAAGTAAACTTTTTAGACAACCTGACCACATTTTTATATAATAAGCGCTTTAAGAAAACAAAGCTATAAGAAACTAGAGAATAAAACAGCAATACTCAAAGAAAAGAACTGAAAACTATACGAAATAAAAAACCTAAATAAAATAAGCTAAAAAAAAATTAATAAAAAAAGAAAATTGTTGCCAAAAAAAATATATACCTAAATACTTTACTCTTTTTGTTTTCTTATTTTTAGGGCGTTAGTTATTTTCCATTACTTATATTGATACAAGTTGAGCAAAAAAGTAGAACAGAGTATTACAAAAATAAAAATATTTTTTGACAATTTTTTTGCGCCTTTTATAGTCAGTATTTAAAAGAAATATTTTATAAATTAAGCTAGAAACATGAACAATTTTTAAAATTGTTTTTTAAATGTCTTTGCTAA